ATAGCCCCGAGGGCCCGAAAAGGGTCCCCCGAGGCCTAGATCGAAGAGAGCGACGCTGGGGCTGAAAACGCAACCCGTCCGAGATGGGTTAGGGGAACATGGGTACGATGCCCGACAGCAAGTGTTGTCCAAACCTGCTCTGGCTGTTTGGCAGGCGGCTTCTTGTGCCAAACGGACCACGTCCGCGTCGACACCCGCAGCGGGCACTGTTCAAAATGGACGGGAAGTGCTGCCGTGCTTCGTCCTGTCGGCTGCAGAATATGGGCATCATTTCCATACCCCTTCCGATCCTCCAGAAGCTTACCCGACACAGTATGGGTCTCAGCTTCTGTGGTGGGGAGACACATAAAATACCGATATCGCTGCTCCCCGGACCTCTCCCGGGGTGCGCCCTGACCAGGATCTCGAAGCGAATCCAGCGGGGGCGACGAGGGCCTCCAAGGAGGCCCAAAAAGGCTGAAAAAGAGGAGATCTCGAGGAGAATCCTGGGAGGCCTCTGCCCAGCATCGAGGAGAACCCATCGGCGGCGGCGAGGACCTCCCAGAAGGCCCAAAAAGGGAGAGAAAAAAAGAGGAGATCTCGAGGCGAATCCCGGAAGGCCTCTGCCCAAAATCTCGCGGCGAATCCATCGGTGGCGACGAGGGCCTCCAAGGAGGCCCGAAAAGGGGAAAACAGGGGAGAACTCCAGGAGGATTCCGAGAGGCCTCTGACCAGAATCTCGAGGCAGATCCATCGGCGGCGACGAGGGCCCCCCAGGAGGCCCAAAAGGAGGGGGGCAGGGGAAACGACGAGGCGATCTCGAGGCGGATCCCGGGAGGCCTCTGCCCAGCATCGCGAGGCGAAAACTCCGGCCGTGGCGGCGCGAGGGCTCTCCATCGCCCGAGGCGCCGAGCATCAGGTCGGGCCTGTCCTCCTGCAGGCGGATTCTGGGCGAAATTTAAGAAATTGTCCCCACACATATATATATATATATATATATACATACATATACATACATACACATATACATATACACACATACAAACATACATATATACATATACATATATCTATATATATACACATATACACATATACACATGCACATATGATAATCAAAACTACTCGAAACAAATCGTCCCCATTTTATTTGTTGACTGGTTTTGAACGTTCCTCCTGTAGAGGGACATGCCCGACTTAAGCCAAGCACTAGTCAAACAAATCTCCAAAAATGGTCATACGAGTCAAAAATACTCGACAAATCGTCCCCATACTATGTTTTGACTCTTTTGAATGTTCCTCCTGTAGAGGGACATGCCCGACTTCAGCCAAGCACGAGGACTTCAGCCAAGCACGAACACTTACAACATTTGTCCGATAAGATGCGTAATAGTCAAAACTACTAAAAAACAATCGTCCCCATTTTAGTTGTTGTCTAGTTTTGAACGTTCCTCCTGTAGAGGGGCATGCCCGACTTAAGCCAAGCACTAGTCAAAAAAACAAAAATAGCCATACTAGTTAAAAAAAACTCGAAACATCGTCCCCTGACTATTTTGACTATTTTGAATGTTCCTCCTGTAGAGGGACATGCCCGACTTCAGCCAAGCACGAGGACTTCAGCCAAGCACGAACGCTTACGAAAATGGTCAGAAAATCATGCGCAATAGTCAAAAACACTCGAAAATCGTCCCCAGACTATATTTTGACTAGTTTTGAAAGTTCCTCCTGTAGAGGGGCATGCCCGACTTACTGAGCCTAGCACGACGCGCGGACGAGGGCGCGGACGGGCGTGGTCCTTGACGGCCGCCTCCTTCGCGGCCTTCTCGGCGGCCTCCGGGGGGGGGGGGGGGCTGCGGGCGGGGCGGGGGGGGGCGCGGGGGCGAGGCTGCGGGCCCCAAGTACGGATACACCACCATCCACCTCCCACTGTCTCCACATCTCCATCATCCTTCTTCACCCCGCCCTCCCCTTCTCTCCTCCTCCTCCCTCCTCCCCTCCCTCCCTCCATTCCTTCCCTCCTCGCCAGCTCCTCCCTCGCGGGGGGGGGGGAGGGGGAAGGGGCGAGGGAGGTGGAGGTGGTGGTGGTGTCCATTTGTTAGCCCCGCGGAGGCCGCGCGCGAGCGCCGGCTGTATGCTCATCCCGGCCGGCGCCGGAGCGAAAGCCTCCCCGAGAGGGGGGCGCCTCGCTCCGTGGGCGACAAGAACAAAGATCCGTAGCCGCGGCCTCCTCCTCCTCCTCCTCCTCCTCCTCCTCCTCCTCCTCCTCCTCCTCCTCCTCCCTCCTTCCTCCTCCTCCTCCTCCTCCTCCTCCCTCCGCCTCCGCCTCGACGCCTCCGCCTCCGCCTCCGTCCTCCTCCTCCTCCTCCTCCTCCTCCTCCTCCTCCTCCTCCTCCTCCTCCTCCTCCTCCGCCGCCGCTGGGGGAGAGGGGCTCGCCATCGCTCGGACGTCCATGCCCCTTGCCTCTTTCGGATTCGCGCGCGCATGCTTCGCAGGATGGTCCAGGATGCGCGGGCCGGGCCCCTGGGCCGCGGCCCCCGCGGATACGGGGCGTCTTTACCGCGGATGCCCCGCGCTGAACGTGTCCGCGCGACCACGTATTACCGCGGGATCGCGCCCCGGAATCCAGACCGCGAGGGGGGAAGCCACAAGGTACCGATGTCGCTACTCCCCGGGGCCTCTCCTGGGGTGCGTTCTGACTAGAATTTCCCAGCGAAGCCAGCGGTGGCGACGAGGGCCTCCCAGGAGGCCCGAAAAAGGGGAAAACCAGGCAGGGGTATAGCGGTATCGGCACCTGTTCCCTGCCTCCCGCCGCGCTTCCGCCGGCGCACACCCGCCGCGGTCGTGCCTCCCTTACCTTTCGCCGACGCTGCCCCCCAGAAACGTCGCGAGGGTGGCCTTGCGGCGGGGCCCGCCTGGCAGGAGCCCGCCGACGCCTCGGCGCTGCCCGCCTCACTGGAAGACCCGGCGCCGGCCGAGCCCCGGAGGGGCCCCGAGGCAGGAACACGTCCTCCTCCTCCTCCTCCTCCTCCTCCTCCTCTCTCTCCTCCTCCTCCTCCTCCTCCTCCTCTGGCTCCTCCTCTCCTCACTCTCCTCCTCCTCCTCCTCCTCCTCCCTTCCTCCTCCTCCTCCTCCTCCTCCTCCTCCTCCTCCTCCTCCTCTCCTCCTCCTCCTCCTCCAAGTCCTCTGCCTCCTGAGGCAGGAACAAAGTAGCATGGGGGAAGCGGGTCCTGAGGGAAACTGCACCGACCTTGCAGACGTGCTGCAGCGGATTTCTGCGCGGACTTCTGCCCATGCAAAGCCCCGAAGCGGCGAGGGAAAAACGAAGCCAAGTTCACGTGGACGTCGTGTAGTCTTCGCTCCAGGCGAGAAAACATCCGCGCGAAATTCGCTTCGAAATCCGGAGCGAAACTCTCCAGGACCATCTGGGCCCATCCCAGTGCTTTCCGAACGGAACCCGCCCTGCGATGGTGGCACTGTGGAACGGGTCCTGAGTCCCAGGGCTTTCCCCCAGGACGAGATCTTCATCCTGAGTGGTTCTCTGACTGGTGGGCCTGTTTCCAACCACCACCACCACCACCACCACCATAAGTAGGAGGGGGAGGGGGTCCTTCTCCTCCTCTTCTTCTTCCTCCTCCTCATCCTCCACCTCCCTCCCCTCTCCAACTTATGATGGCGGTGGAAAACAAACCCACCACTGACAGTCCTGAGGCCCTTGGAGCGCCCCGAGATTCCGAGAATGGCGCAAAACCTCGGGACCCGTTTCCCGCAGGACCCGTTTCCCCCCTGACGACGCCTGGACCCAGGGCCTTCCCCCAGGACGAGATCTTCATCCTGAGCCGTTCTCTGACAGTCCCGGGGCCCTTGGAGCGCCCCGAGATCCCGAGAACGGCGCAAAACATCGGTACCCGCTTCCCGCAGGACCCGCTTCCCCCCCATGGCGACGCCTCGGCGCTACTCGCCTCGCTGGACAACTCGAGGCAGGCCGAGGCCCGAAGAGGCACGAAGGCAGGAACGAGCCAAGGAATCTCACCGAAAGCAAACAGAAAAACACAAACTGACACTGAAGAAATTGGCATGGGGGAAGCGGGTCCTCCTCCTCCTCCTCCTCCTCCTCCTCTCCTCCTCCTCCTCCTCCTCTCCTCCTCATCCTCCTCCTCCTCCTCCTTCCTCCTCATCCTCCTCCTCATCCGCCCCTCCTCCTCCTCCTCCTCCTCTCTCCTCCTCCTCTCTCATCCTTCCTCTCCGCATCCTCCTCCTCCTACCCTCCTCCTCCCTCCTCCCCTCCTCCTCGCCGCCGCCGCCGCCGCCGCCGCCGCCGCCGCCGCCGCCGCACGCGCCGCCGCCGCCGCCGCCCTCCCCGGCGCCACCACCACACCACCACCACCACCACCACCACCACCACCACCCCAGCGGCGCGCAGAAGGGGGCGCGACGGCGAGGGGTCGCAGGCCCTTCTGAGAAGAAGGCAGGGCGTTGCTGCCTCTTTGTCCTCGTTGAGGGGGGGTGGGGGGGGGCGAGGACTTCGAAAGGGCTTCTTCGAGGGCGGGAGCAGGAGCCCAGCGGCTGCAGTGGTCCACCTCCTCCCTCCTGCCTCCCCGCTCCTGCCCTGGTTGCTCTCCTCCTTTTCTGGGAGGGGGGAGGGGAAAGGTGGGGTCGCGCCATGTCTGACACCCTACCCTTAGGTCGGGCATATCCCCCTACAGGCCGATTTTCGACGGGAAATAAAAATAATAAAAACATACCCCAAAAATTGTCAAAAATAACCCGAAACTCGTCCCCAGGCTATGTTTTACTATTTTTGAACGTTCCCCCTGTAGAGGGACGCGCCCGACTTAACCCTACCACTCCCACCCATCCCTCTCCATTGCGCTGCGGTTTCTCTATCCGCCGACGCGTGTCATAGTGGGCCTGGGACTCCAACAAGAACCCCTTATCGTGTGGTGCGCAGTCGGAAAAGGGGAGCTGCGTGCCTTGTGTATGAGCAGGAGGAAGAAACGGAGGAGGAGGAGGAGGAGGAGGAGGAGGAGGAGGAGGAGGAGAAGGAAAGAGGAGGACGAGGACGAACAGCAGCAGCAGGAGCTGGAGAGGAAAAAGCGGAAGGAGCAGGAGGACCACGGGAAGGCGGAGAGGGGGGGATAGGAGGGGGACGGCAACGATTAGGAGGGATTCGGATACAGGAAAATACCCCGCGCTGGGGCGAGAGCGCCATCCTGAACGACGGGAGCAAAGCCCCGATTCTGAGATGAGGCCCACGCTGCAGCGGGAGCGAGAGCGCCACCCTGAACGACGGGAGCCAAGCCCCGATCCTGAGAGGAGGCCCACGAGGCAGCGCGAGCACAGTTTTGGAAGGACCACAGACGCTCGGATCGGAAAGTCACATTCCTCGGGGATGGACAGAACCCCCTTTAGCAACATGTGGTTTAGTGAAAACGACCTCGGGCCCAAACCTGTCGGGTACAAGCCTGGAAAATGACGGTCACGGCGCCCTCTCGAGAACCGAAAACGGACAATTCACTAATCGACGTGTTAGGGTGGGGGTTGTGTTCCTTTGTGTATATATAGAAACAAATACAAATATATATATATACACACATACATTCACACATATAACAAAATAAAGTAAACCAAAAAATGACCAATCCTCTGAATTGAGAAAAAACAACCTACACTGAGGGGGCGGGCCACTCTCGGCACATCGTAGGGGGGGGCGAGAGGCGAGTGGCATTACAAGCATGAGCAGTACCAGCGACATGCCCTAGGAATCACAAGCGGAAGCACAGGCACGCATGAACCATAAGCGGAAACACTGGCATCAGAAACGGACCACCAGCGACATACAATATGAATATGAACACACAAGATTGAAGGGGCCCTGGGATACACAAATAAATAGACACAAATAGAGGGATGTCCCAGTTTCCCATATCTTCTGGGTTTCTGTCTTCCCCCCCACTTCCCATAGTTTCCCCTATTTTCTGGGGAATCGACGATGAATTGTGTCTGTGTGTTTTGTCCCTCCTGAAATATGAGCCACCAGCAAGCCGATCGTGGCCAGGCACAGCAGGAGCAGCCGCGGGAGCAGTGCAGGGAACACCCAAAGATCGGGCCCGTGGCAGACGGCCAGGCGCGAGAGGCAGAGCTGCGCACGGCCGAATCGACCGACCCCTGCGGCCAGGAGCAGCAGGAACCGTGAGCACCCGAACCTCAGCGCGAGCCCTGCCTGTGGAAGACGAAGCCCGACTCCCCGCAAATGGTGCGATTCGCATGGACGGCCCAGGCTCCTGCTTCGGGGTCTCGCCTCACTCCAGTCGTTTGAGAAACCCGACACCTTCAAACAGCGCGCTTCGTATGGACGGCCCAGGCTCCTTCTTCGGGGTCTCGCCCCACCCCAGTAGTTTGAGAGGCCCAGGCCCCACCCAGATAAAGCATTGCGGCGGCGCGCCCGAGAATGCATCCCCGCCCAGGGGGGCACTTTTTTGGCGCCGAGTGGTCTCGCGCGGTCGGAGGGAATGTTTGCTGAGGTTGCTAGGACACGTAGTGGGCCCAGTGCTAGGTGGTCAGGTGAATACAAATGGAGCAAAACTCTAGCTCTCGAGAAAGTAGATGTCCGACTTGGCTCTCGAAAGAATGAGCGCGCAACTTTGGATGTTGATTACCCGCAGACGCCAGGCCCTGGCGAAACTGCAACAGGACTTGAACTTTGGGTGGCGAGCCACCAGAGCAGCAGGCTGTCGAGGTGCATGCGCGGATTGCACTGCGGCCAAGGGGAAGACCCCACACGACTCATCAAGTGCCCGTTGACGTCGTCGTCGTCCATTTAGCTAATCGGACTTCTTCGGGTCTGCCATCCTCCGCACAGGAAGGCATAGCCAGAGCCTCTGTGAGCTCTCAGGCATGGCACAGCCGCCCTACATGCGCATGGTGTTGGACCAGGGACCGTACTCACCACTGAATCACGGCGATCCTTTGACAGCCCGACGCGTCGAATTTTCGCAGAATGGCATCAAGAGCAACTTTCCAGTCTACCACACCGCTAGGACCACAAACCTGCACCTGATATCCCCTATCCACAGTAGATACGCCGGCTGTGCTCAGGCCGAAAACCAAATCATGCCTGTAAATGTATACGCCGTGAGGTGTATAAAGACCCAACAGAAGCTCATCAAATAGGGCTGCATGCTCGGGCCAGCGTGACAGTTTGATGCTGTAAAAAACGAACTTCCAGCGTCTTAGACTCGGCGCGTACTGGAGCTGGCTACTCTTGCATTCAACCCGAACGTTTCCACGGCACCAGTCGTACTCTGCCTGGTGAGCAGCTCGCTGGCGCGCAATCGATCTACATGAAGCAGCAGCGGCAGCTTTCACTGTAACCTCTGGGTTTAAGATGTTGTCAACACGGCGAACAAGTTCTTCGATATGCAGTCCACGAGCGCATGGACTGAGATCCGATAGAGGACATTGTTTGAAGGCCAGCCGCGTTACACCACATGTCTCATGCAATAGCGCCTTCAAGCGCGCGTCTGTATTCGAAACTACTGCAAGCCTAGCACACCCATTCGAGTCATCATCAAGCTTCCCTAAGATTACATCTCGAGCGTCTGACCACCGTTCCACTCCAGACGGGCCCCGAAATTGTACCTGGTGTCCTTTGATTCCAGTGTATAAACCATGACTGCTCACGGCAAATTTTCTATCGTGGCGGTATATGTATATTGCACAAGGAAATTGACAGACAAGGAGGAGCTCGTCATGGAGGGCTAGCTTCACGCCAGGAAAACTCAATCCCCAGCCGACATGAGAAGGCAACCATGACATCATAGCACTCTTACACTCAATGCGCTGACCATCCCGGCGCCAATCATACTCTGTTCGACTGGCACCGCGCCAATGTCCATTTACACATCGACCAGAAGCGGCATCCTCGGAGTCTGAATCAGGATTAATTTCTGAATCGACAGATCTAGCTAATGACTGGAGTATTCTGCCCCTCGTAGCTTGCGGGAGGTGGACCAGAACATTGCCTTCGAAGGCTCTTGATGTGGGAGATCTGACTTGCGAGGCCAAGACATCATTGAACATAGAGGCTGGAAAGACGATGAATCGAGATCCCAGACGCCTGCCAGCATAATTAAAGCCCCTCCCCGCAAAGAGCATGGATAGAAGAGAACGAGACTGGCAACTCGATCCAAAATTGCAGCAGCCAAAAATGCTTCAATCAGAACGGCTTGCGCCAAAATGGCTACGGACGTCTGCCTGATCAGCACGATCTCTTGCAGCTGCGCTGACATCACAACTGGGCCCTCGAATTGCCAATGAACTTCGCGGGGGCGGCTGGCAAGAACGCGCCCTCTCAGGGAGCCTGGGTCCCTGGAGTTCCGCAGCCCCCCCAAAAAAGTCCCAGAGCCCGGGCCACTGGGATCTCTTCGCCTCCTCGAGAACCGCCAGTCCGGCAGACGGAGCTGACAACGCCCCCCCCCGAACCGGCCACGTCGCCTGCTCCGCGACTCTTCTTGGCGAGGGGCCAGGCGGGTCGCCGCCCCCAGGCCGACACCTCCGGACCGACTCCCGCCACGAGTGTGAACACCGCGCGCCGGAGGCGCCGCGCCCCCCCCCCCCCGACGGCGAGGGGGAGGGCACCCCCCCCCTCTCCGCAATGGCTGCGCCCAGCGAGGGGCCCAGGATCGAGCACCCAGGAAAAAAAACTGAACAGGACAGCGCCAATACGCCTGCCATGGGGGAAATCAGAAGGTAGTGACACCGCTGCTCCCGGGACCTCTTCTGAGGGGCGCGTTCTGACCGGGATTTCGCGGCGCATCCAGCGGTGGCGACGAGGGCCTCCCAGGAGGCCCAAAAAGGGGGACAACGGGCGAAGGGCAACGGCATGGGCACCCTGTCCTCCTCTGCCGCAGCCCTGCCCACGATCGAACGACGGGCTGGCCGGAATGTGCCGCGAGCGCCAGCGCCGAGCACGGGTCAGACTGAGGCACCTCGCCGGCCACTGGGCCTGGGTGCGCCTCGCCCCGCCCGCGCTCCCACCTCGTCGGAGCAGGGCCGGCCGAGACGAGACGACGGCGGCGCCCCCTCCCCGCCCAGATCCACGCCAGAGTCTGGTGCCGAGCCCCTCCTCCCTGGACCCGCGTCCCGACGCGTTCCTCGAGGCGGCTCCAGCCGCGGCGCCGAGGAGCCTCCCGGAGGCGCGAGGAAGGTCGCGAGAGAAACGCCAGGGACGGCCGCGGGCGTCCCGACGGTCCCTCCTCCGACGGTGCGAGGCGCAAGATGCGGTCGAGGCGCATAACGAGGATGCGCGATGGGGACGCAAAGGCCTTGAGGCGCATAACGAGGATGCGCGATATAGAGATGCAAAGGCCTTGGAAGGCCTTGTCGACACCCTTCGAGAGGGGCCAAGGAAGGTGGCCAAGGATGAGCCGAGGGAGAAGGATGCAAGGGCAACCTTGGACAGCTGCTCGTCCTCACTGCGAGCGCATTTTTTTTCGAGGCCATCGCGGGCGTTATGGGGGGGGAGGGGAGGGGGGACAGGAGGGGACACAACGTAGCGCCCCCCCCTAAGACTGCGGTGCCGGACGCACTGCGGCAGCGCCAGGGACGCACTGAGGGGGGGCCGGGGGAGGGGGGGGGCGGGGTATGGGGGAGGGTAGGGAGCAGTCACTCGTTTAGCGCAAGAAGCCCAGGCCCCACCCAGATAAGCATTTGTTCGGCGCGCCAGGGGATGCACTCACCTAATTACCCAGAGGGGCAGGTTGGCGCCGAGTAGTCTGGCGCAGGCGGAGAGAACCTTTGACGAGGTTGCTCGGACATGCAGTGGGCTCAGTGCCAGCTGGCCAGAGGAATACAAACTTATGTGGAGCAAAAGCTTAGCACTCGAAACATTGCATGTTTCCGACTTAGCTCTCAAAACAATGAGCGCACAACTTGGGATGTTGATTACCCGCAGACGCCAGGCCCTGGCGAAACCACAACAGGAATTGAACTTTGGGTTGCGAGCCACCAGAGCAGCACGCTGTCCAGGTGCATGCGCGGTTTGCACTGCAGCCAAGGGGACGACCCCACACGACTCATCAAGCGCCCGTTGTCGCAGTCGTCCATTTAGCTAGCCGGACTTCTTCGGGTCTGCCATCCTCCACGCAGGAAGGCATAGCCAGTGCCTCTGCGAGCTTCCAAACTTGGCACAGCTGCCATACATGCGCATGGTGTTGGACCAAGGACCGTACTCACCACTGAACCACGGCGATCCTTTGACAGCCCGACGCGTCGAATTTTCGCAGAATGGCATCAAGAGCAACTTTCCAATCTACCACACCGCTAGGACCATAAACCTGCACTTGATATCCGCTACCCACAGTAGATGCGCCGCTTGTGCTCAGGCCGAAAACCAAATCATGCCTATAAATGTATACGCCGTGAGGTGTATAAAGACCCAACAGAAGCTCATCGAATAGCGCCGTATGCTCGGGCGAGCGTGACAGTTTGATCTTGGAAAAACTGAACTTCCAGCGTCTTTGACTCGGTTCGTACTGTAGCTGGCTACTCTTGCACTCAACCCGAACGTTTCCACGGCACCAGTCGTACTCTGCCTGGTGAGCACCTCGCCGGCGCGCAACCGATCTACATGAACCAGCAGCGGCAGCGTTCACCGTAACCTCTGGGTGTAAGAGTGTGTCAACACGGCGAACAAGTTCTTCGATATGCAGCCCACGAGCGCCTGAACTGAGATCCGAAAGAGGACGTTGTTTGAAGGCCAGTCGCGTTACACCACATGTCTCATGCAATAGCGCCTCCAAGCGCGCGTCTGTATTCGAAACTACTGCAAGCCTGGCACACCCATTCGAGTCATCATCAAGCTTCCCTAAGATTGCATCTCGAGCGTCTGACCACTGTTCCACTCCAGACGGGCCCCGAACGAGTATCTGGTGCCCGAGGGTTCTAGTCTTAAAACCATGGCTGCTCACGGCAAATTGTCTGTCGTGCCGGTATATGTATATTGCACATGGGCATAGACAGACAAGGAGGAGCTCGTCATGGAGAGCTAGCTTCACGCCAGCAAAATGCAATTGCCAGCTGGCCTGAGAAGGCACCCACAACATCATAGCACTCTTACACTCAATGCGCTGACCATCCCGGCGCCAATCATACTCTGTTCGATTGGCACCGCGCCGATCTCCATTTACACATCGACCAGAAGCGGCATCCTCGGAATCTGAACCAGGGTTAATTTCTGAATCGACAGATCTAGCTAATGACTGGAGTATCCTGCCCCTCGTAGCTTGCGGGAGGTGGACCAGAGCATTGCCTTCGAAGGCTCTTGATGTCGGAGATCTGACTTTCGAGGCCAAGATATCATTGAACATAGAGGCTGGAAAGACGATGAGTCGAGATCCCAGACGCAAATCAGCATAATTAAAGCCCCTCCCCGCGAAGAGCATGGAGAGAAGAGAATGCCACTGGCAATTCCATCCAAAATTGCAGAAGCCAAAATTGTTTCAGCTAGAACGGCTTTCGCCAAAATGGCTACGGACGCCTGCCTGATCAGCACGATCTCTTGCAGCTACGCTGACATCGCACCTGGACCCCCGAATTGCCAATAAACTTCGCGGGGGCGGCTGGCAAGAACGCGCTCTCTCAGGGAGCCTGGGTCCCTGGACTTCCGCAGCCCCCAAAAGAAGTCTGGGAGCCCAGACCACGGTCCAGCAGACGGATGTGAGAACGCCCTCCAAACAGGCAACGTCACCTGCTCCGCGGCCCTTGGCGAGGGGCCAGGCGGGTCGCCGCCCCCAGGCCGACACCTCCGGACCGACTCCCGCCACGAGAATAAATACCGCGCGCCGAAGGCGCCGCGCTCCCCCCCCCGACGGCGAGGGGGAGGGCACCCCCCCCTCTCTCCGCAATGGCTGTGTCGAACACCCAGGGAAAGAACTGAACAGGACAGCGCCAGTACGCCTGCCATAGGGAAATCAGAAGGCAGCGACACCGCTACTCCCGGGACCTCTTCTGAGGGGCGCGTTCTGACCGGGATTCCGGGGCGCATCCAGCGGTGGCGACGAGGGCCTCCCAGGAGGCCCCAAAAAGGGGGAGAACGGGCGAAGGGCAACGACATGGGCACCCTGTCCCCCTCTGCAGCAGCCCTGCCCACGATCGAACTACGGGCTGGCCGGAATGCGCCGCGAGCGCCAGCGCCGAGCACGGGTCAGACTGAGGCACCTCGCCGGCCACTCGGCCTGGGTGCGCCTCGCCCCGCCCGCTCTCCCACCTCGTCGGAGCAGGGCCAACCGAGACGAGACGACGGCGGCGCCCCCTCCCCGCCCAGATCCACGCCAGAGTCTGGTGCCGAGCCCCTCCTCCCTGGACCCGTCCCGACGCGTTCCTCGAGGCGGCTCCAGCCGTGGCGCCGAGGAGCCTCCCGCAGGCGCAAGAGAGGTCGCGAGAAACGCCAGGGACGGCCGCGGGCGTCTCGACGGCCCCTCCTCTGACAGTGCGAGGCGCAAGATGCGGTCGAGGCGCATAACGAGGATGCACGATAGGGATGCAAAGGCCTTGAGGCGCATAACGAGGATGCGCGATAGAGATGCAAAGGGCCTGGGAAGGCCTTGTCGACACCCTTCGAGAGGGGGCGCGGCCAGGGAAGGTGGCCGAGGATGAGCCGAGGGAGAAGGATGCAAGGGTAACCTTGGACAGCTGCTCGTCCTCACTGCGAGCGCATTTTTTGTTCGAGGCCATCGCGGGCGTTATGGGGGGGAGGGGAGGGGGGACGGGAGGGGACACAACGTAGCGCCCCCCCCCTAAGACTGCGGTGCCGGACGCACTGCGGCAGTGCCGGGGACGCACTGAGGGGGGAGCGTTACGCGATGGGGCGGGGGGGGGAGGGGGGGGAGGGTAGGGGGGAGGGTAGGGGGCATTCACTCGTTTAGCGCAAGAAGCCCAGGCCCCACCCGGATAAGCATTTGTTCGGCGCGCCAGGGGATGCACTCACCTACCCAGAGGGGGAGGTTGGCGCCGAGTAGTCTGGCGCAGGCGGAGAGAACCTGTGACGAGGTTGCTCGGACATGCAGTGGGCTCAGTGCAAGCTGGCCAGAGGAATACAAATTTATGTGGAGCAAAAGCTTGGCACCCGAAACATTGTATGTTTCCGACTTAGCTCTCGAAACAATGAGCGCGCAACTTTAGATGTTGATTACCCGCAGACGCCAGGCCCTGGCGAAACCACAACAGGAATTGAACTTTGGGTGGCGAGCCACCAGAGCAGCACACTGTCCAGGTGCATGCGCGGTTTGCACTGCAGCCAAGGAGAAGACCCCACACGACTCATCAAGCGCCCGTTGTCGCAGTCGTCCATTTAGCTAGCCGGACTTCTTCGGGTCTGCCATCCTCCACGCAGAAGGCATAGCCAGTGCCTCTGCGAGCTTCCAAACTTGGCACAGCCGCCATACATGCGCATGGTGTTGGACCAAGGACCGTACTCACCACTGAACCACGGCGATCCTTTGACAGCCCGACGCGTCGAATTTTCGCAGAATGGCATCAAGAGCAACTTTCCAATCTACCACACCGCTAGGACCATAAACCTGCACTTGATATCCGCTACCCACAGTAGATGCGCCCGTTGTGCTCAGGCCGAAAACCAAATCATGCCTATAAATGTATACGCCGTGAGGTGTATAAAGACCCAACAGAAGCTCATCGAATAGCGCCGTATGCTCGAGCGAGCGTGACAGTTTGATCTTGGAAAATCTGAACTTCCAGAGTCTCCTCCTCGGTTCGTACTGTAGCTGGCTACTCTTGCACTCAACCCGAACGTTTCCACGGCACCAGTCGTACTCTGCCTGGTGAGCAGCTCGCCGGCGCGCAACCGATCTACATGAACCAGCAGCGGCAGCGTTCACCGTAACTTCTGGGTGTAAGAGTGTGTCAACACGGCGAACAAGTTCTTCGATATGCAGCCCACGAGCGCCTGGACTGAGATCCGAAAGAGGACATTGTTTGAAGGCCAGTCGCGTTACACCGCATGTCTCATGCAATAGCGCGTTCAAGCGCGCGTCTGTATTCGAAACTACTGCAAGCCTGGCACACCCATTCGAGTCATCATCAAGCTTCCCTAAGATTGCATCTCGAGCGTCTGACCACTGTTCCACTCCAGACGGGCCCCGAACGTGTATCTGGTGCCCGTGGATTCTAGTCTCAAAACCATAGCTGCTCACGGCAAACTTTCTGTCGTGCTGGTATATGTATATCGCACATGGGCATAGACAGACAAGGAGGAGCTCGTCATGGAGAGCTAGCTTTACGCCGTCAAAACGCAATGACCAGCCGACATGAGAAGGCACCCACAACATCATAGCACTCTTACACTCAATGCGCTGACCATCCCGGCGCCAATCATACTCTGTTCGATTGGCACCGCGCCGATCTCCATTTACACATCGACCAGAAGCGGCATCCTCGGAGTCTGAACCAGGGTTAATGTCTGAATCGACAGATCTAGCTAATGACTGGAGTATCCTGCCCCTCGTAGCTTGCGGGAGGTGGACCAGAGCATTGCCTTCGAAGGCTCTTGATGTGGGAGATCTGACTTGCGAGGCCAAGATATCATTGAACATAGAGGCTGGAAAGACGATGAGTCGAGATCCCAGACGCAAACCAGCATAATTAAAGCCTCTCCCTGCGAAGAGCATGGAGAGAAGCTAATGCCACTGGCAATTCCATCCAAAATTGCAGAAGCCAAGACTGCTTCAGCTAGAACGGCTTGCGCCAAAATGGCTACGGACGCCTGCCTGATCAGCACGGTCTCTTGCAGCTGCGCTGACATCACAACTGGACCCCCGAACTGCCAATGAACTTCGCGGGGGCGGCTGGCAAGAACGCGCTCCCCCAGGGAGCCTGGGTCCCTGGAGTTCCGCAGCCCCCAAAAGAAGCCCTAGAGCCCAGACCACTGGAATTTCTTCGCCTCCCCCCTCGAGAACCGCAGTCCGGCAGACGGAGCTGACAACGAACCGGCCACGTCGCCTGCTCCGCGGCTCTTCTTGGCGAGGGGCCAGGCGGGTCGCCGCCCCCAGGCCGACACCTCCGGACCGACTCCCGCCACGAGTGTAAACACCGCGCGCCGGAGGCGCCGCGCTCCCCCCCCCGACGGCGAGGGGGAGGGCAACCCGCCCCTCTCCGCAATGGCTGCGCCGAGAGAGGGGCCCAGGATCGAACACCCAGGGAAAGAGCTGAACAGGACCGCGCCAATACGCCTGCCATGGGGAAATCTGAAGGCAGCGACTCCGCTGCTCCCGGGACCTCTCCTGAGGGGCGCGCTCTGACCGGGATTCCGAGGCGAATCCAGCGGTGGCGACGAGGGCCTCCCAGGAGGCCCAAAAGAAGGGGGAGAACGGGCGAAGGGCAACGGCATGGGCACCCTGTCCCCCTCTGCTGCAGCCCTGCCCACGATCGAACGACGGGCTGGCCGGAACGTGCCGCGAGCGCCAGCGCCGAGCACGGGTCAGACTGAGGCACCTCGCCGGCCACTCGGCCTGGGTGCGCCTCGCCCCGCCCGCGCTCCCACCTCGTCGGAGCAGGGCCAACCGAGACGAGACGACGGCGGCGCCCCCTCCCCGCCCAGATCCACGCCAAGGTCTGGTGCCGAGCCCCTCCTCCCTGGACCCGCGTCCCGACGCGTTCCTCGAGGCGGCTCCAGCGGTGGCGCCGAGGAGCCTCCCGCAGGCGCAAGAGAGGTCGCGAGAGAAACGCCGGGGACGGCCGCGGGCGTCCCGACGGCCCCTCCTCCGACGGTGCGAGGCGCAAGATGCGGTCGAGGCGCATAACGAGGATGCGCGATATAGAGATGCAAAGGCCTTGGAAGGCCTTGTCGACACCCTTCGAGAGGGGGCGCGGCCAGGGAAGGTGGCCAAGGATGAGCCGAGGGAGAAGGATGCAAGGGTAACCTTGGACAGCTGCTCGTCCTCACTGCGAGCGCATTTTTTGTTCGAGGCCATCGCGGGCGTTATGGGGGGGAGGGGAGGGGGGACGGGAGGGGACACAACGTAGCGCCCCCCCCCTAAGACTGCGGTGCCGGACGCACTGCGGCAGTGCCAGGGACGCACTGAGGGGGGGAGCCTTACGTCATGGGGCGGGGGGAGGAGGGGGGAGGGTAGGGGGGAGGGTAGGGGGCATTCACTCGTTTAGCGCAAGAAGCCCAGGCCCCACCCCGATAAGCATTTGTTCGGCGCGCCAGGGGATGCACTTCCCTACCCAGAGGGGCAGGTTGGCGCCGAGTTGTCTGGCGCAGGCGGAGAGAACCTTTGACGAGGTTGCTCGGACATGCAGTGGGCTCAGTGCCAGCTGGCCAGAGGAATACAAATTCATGCGGAGCAAAAGCTTAGCACTCGAAACATTGTATGTTTCCGACTTCGCTCTCGAAACAATGAGCGCGCAACTCTGGATGTTGATTACCCGCAGACGCCAGGCCCTGGCGAAACCACAACAGGAATTGAACTTTGGGTGGCGAGCCACCAGAGCAGCACGCTGTCCAGGTGCATGCGCGGTTTGCACTGCAGCCAAGGGGAAGACCCCACACGACTCATCAAGCGCCCGTTGTCGCAGTCGTCCATTTAGCTAGCCGGACTTCTTCGGGTCTGCCATCCTCCACACAGGAAGGCATAGCCAGTGCCTCTGCGAGCTTCCAAACTTGGCACAGCCGCCATACATGCGCATGGTGTTGGACCAAGGACCGTACTCACCACTGAACCACGGCGATCTTTTGACAGCCCGACGCGTCGAATTTTCGCAGAAGGGCATCAAGAGCAAGCTTCCAATCTACCACACCGCTAGGACCATAAACCTGCACTTGATATCCGCCACCCACAGTAGATGCGCCGGTTGTGCTCAGGCCGAAAACCAAATCATGCCTGTAAATGTATACGCCGTGAGGTGTATAAAGACCCAACAGAAGCTCATCGAATAGCGCCGTATGCTCGGGCGAGCGTGACAGCTTGATCTTGGAAAACTTGAACTTCCAGCGTCTTCTGGTCGGGTTGTACTGTAGCTGGCTACTCTTGCACTCAACCCGAACGTTTCCACGGCACCAGTCGTACTCTGCCTGGTGAGCAGCTCGCCGGCGCGCAACCGATCTACATGAACCAGCAGCGGCAGCGTCCACCGTAACCTCTGGGTGTAAGAGTGTGTCAACACGGCGAACAAGTTCTTCGATATGCAGTCCACGAGCGCATGGACTGAGATCCGATAGAGGACATTGTTTGAAGGCCAGCCGCGTTACACCACATGTCTCATGCAATAGCGCCTTCAAGCGCGCGTCTGTATTCGAAACTACTGCAAGCCTGGCACACCCATTCGAGTCATCATCAAGCTTCCCTAAGATTGCATCTCGAGCGTCTGACCACTGTTCCACTCCAGACGGGCCCCGAAATTGTACCTGGTGTCCTTTGATTCCAGTGTATAAACCATGACTGCTCACGGCAAACTTTCTATCGTGGCGGTATATGTATATTGCACATGGAAATTGACAGACAAGGAGGAGCTCGTCATGGAGGGGTAGCTTCACGCCAGCAAAAAAAAATCCCCAGCAAGCCTGAGAAGGCAACCATGACATCATAGCACTCTTACACTCAATGCGCTGACCATCCCGGCGCCAATCATACTCTGTTCGATTGGCACCGCGCCGATCTCCATTTACACATCGACCAGATTCGGCATCCTCGGAGTCTGAACCAGGGTTAATGTCTGAATCGACAGATCTAGCTAATGACTGGAGTATCCTGCCCCTCGTAGCTTGCGGGAGGTGGACCAGAGCATTGCCTTCGAAGGCTCTTGATGTGGGAGAGCTGACTTGCGAGGCCAAGATATCATTGAACATAGAGGCTGGAAAGACGATGAGTCGAGATCCCAGACGCCTGCCAGCATCATGAAAGCCCCTCCCCGCAAGGAGCATGGAGAGAAGCTAATGCCACTGGCAACTCGATCCAAAATTTCAGCAGCCAAAACTGCTTCAGCTAGAACAGCTTGCGCCAAAATGGCTACGGACGCCTGCCTGATCAGCACGATCTCTTGCAGCTGCGCTGACATCACAACTGGGCCCCTGAATTGCCAATGAACTTCGCGGGGGTGGCTGGCAAGAACGCGCTCCCTCAGGGAGCCTGGGTCCTTGGAGTTCCGCAGCCCCCCCAAAAAAAGTCCTAGAGCCCAGACCACTGGGATCTCTTCGCCTCCCCCATCGAGAACCGCCAGTCCGGCAGACGGAGCTGACAACGCCCCCCCCCCCGAACCGGCCACGTCGCCTGCTCCGCGGCTCTTCTTGGCGAGGGGCCAGGCGGGTCGCCGCCCCCAGGCCGACACCTCCGGACCGACTCCCGCCACGAATGTAAACACCGCGCGCCGAAGGCGCCGCGCTCCCCCCCCGACGGCGAGGGGGAAGGCACACACCCCCTCCCTCTCCGCAATGGCTGCGCTCAGCGAGGGGCCCAGGATCGAACACTCAGGGAAAGAACTGAACAGGACAGCGCCAGTACGCCTGCCATGGGGAAATCAGAAGGCAGCGACTCCGCTGCTCCCGGGACCTCTTCTGAGGGGCGCGCTCTGACCGGGATTCCGGGGCGCATCCAGCGGTGGCGACGAGGGCCTCCCAGGAGGCCCAAAAGAAGGGGGAGAACGGGCGAAGGGCAACGGCATGGGCACCCTGTCCCCCTCTGCTGCAGCCCTGCCCACGATCGAACGACGGGCTGGCCGGAACGTGCCGCGAGCGCCAGCGCCGAGCACGGGTCAGACTGAGGCACCTCGCCGGCCACTCGGCCTGGGTGCGCCTCGCCCCGCCCGCTCTCCCACCTCGTCGGAGCAGGGCCGGCTGAGACGAGACGACGGCGGCGCCCCCTCCCCGCCCAGATCCACGCCAGAGTCTGGTGCCGAGCCCCTCCGCCCTGGACCCGCGTCCCGACGCGTTCCCCGAGGCGGCTCCAGCCGCGGCGCCGAGGAGCCTCCCGGAGGCGCGAGGAAGGTCGCGAGAGAAACGCCGAGGACGGCCGCGGGCGCCTCGACGGCCCCTCCTCCGACGGTGCGAGGCGCAAGATGCGGTCGAGGCGCATGACGAGGATGCGCGATGGGGACGCAAAGGCCTTGGAAGGCCTTGTCGACACCACCCTTCGAGAGGGGGCGCGGCCAGGGAAGGTGGCCAAGGATGAGCCGAGGGAGAAGGATGCGAGGGCAACCTTGGACAGCTGCTCATTCTTGCTGCGAGCACATTTTTGGTTCACGGCCATAACGGTGGCAGGGAGAGGCGGGGGAACGGGAGAGGGCACGCCCCCCCCCCCCCAGACTGTGCGGCAGTGCCGGGGACGCACTGAGGGGGGGAGCCTTACGTAATGGGGCGGGGGGAGGGGGGGGCAGGGTATGGGGGAGGGTAGGGGGCAGTCACTCGTTTAGCGCAAGAAGCCCAGGCCCCACCCGGATAAGCATTTGTTCGGCGCGCCAGGGGATGCACTCACCTAATTACCCAGAGGGGCAGGTTGGCGCCGAGTAGTCTGGCGCAGGCGGAGAGAACCTTTGATGAGGTTGCTCGGACATGCAGCGGGCTCAGTGCCAGCTGGCCAGAGGAATACAAACTTATGTGGAGCGAAAGCTTAGCACTCGAAACATTGTATGTTTCCGACTTAGCTCTCGAAACAATGAGCGCGCAACTTTGGATGTTGATTTCCCGCAGACGACAGGCCCTGGCGAAACCACAACAGGAATTGAACTTTGGGTGGCGAGCCACCAGAGCAGCAGGCTGTCGAAGTGCATGCGCGGGTTGCACTGCGGCCAAGGGGAAGACCCCACACGACTCATCAAGTGCCCGTTGTCGTCGTCGTCCATTTAGCTAATCGGACTTCTTCGGGTCTGCAATCCTCCGCACAGGAAGGCATAGCCAGAGCCTCTGTGAGCTTTCAGGCATGGCACAGCCGCCCTACATGCACATGGTGTTGCACCAGGGACCGTACTCACCACTGAATCACGGCGATCCTTTGACAGCCCGACGCGTCGAATTTTCGCAGAATGGCATCAAGAGCAACTTTCCAGTCTACCACACCGCTAGGACCACAAACCTGCACCTGATATCCCCCATCCACAGTAGATACGCCGGTTGTGCTCAGGCCGAAAACCAAATCATGCCTGTAAATGTATACGCCGTGAGGTGTATAAAGACCCAACAGAAGCTCATCAAATAGGGCTGCATGCTCGGGCCAGCGTGACAGTTTGATGTTGTAAAAAACGAACTTCCAGCGTCTTAGACTCGGCGCGTACTGGAGCTGGCTACTCTTGCATTCAACCCGAACGTTTCCACGGCACCAGTCGTACTCTGCCTGGTGAGCAGCTCGCTGGCGCGCAATCGATCTACATGAAGCAGCAGCGGCAGCTTTCACTGTAACCTCTGGGTTTAAGAGTTTGTCAACACGGCGAACAAGTTCTTCGATATGCAGTCCACGAGCGCATGAACTGAGATCCGATAGAGGACATTGTTTGAAGGCCAGCCGCGTTGCACCACATGTCTCATGCAATAGCGCCTTCAAGCGCGCGTCTGTATTCGAAACTACTGCAAGCCTAGCACACCCATTCGAGTCATCATCAAGCTTCCCTAAGATTACATCTCGAGCGTCTGACCACCGTTCCACTCCAGACGGGCCCCGAAATTGTACCTGTTGTCCTTTGATTCTAGTGTATAAACCATGACTGCTCACGGCAAACTTTCTATCGTGGCGGTATATGTATATTGCACATGGAAATTGACAGACAAGGACGAGCTCGTCATGGAGGGCCAGCTTCACGCCAGAAAAATAAAATCCCCAGCAAGCCTGAGAAGGCAACCATAACATCATAGCACTCTTACACTCAATGCGCTGACCATCCCGGCGCCAATCGTACTCTGTCTGATTGGCACTGCGCCAAGATCCATTTACACGTCGACCAGAAGCGGCATCCTCGGAGTCTGAACCAGGGTTAATTTCTGAATCGACAGATCTAGCTAATGACTGGAGTATTCTGCCCCTCGTAGCTTGCGAGAGGTGGGCCAGAGCATTACCTTCGAAAGCTCTTGATGTGGGAGATCTGACTGGCGAAGCCAAGACATCATTGAACATAGAGGCTGGAAAGACGATGAATCGAGATCCCGGACGCAAACCAGCATAATTAAAGCCCCTCCCCGCGCAGAGCATGGAGAGAAGAGAACGCGACTGGCAATTTGATCCAAAATTGCAGCAGCCAGAAATGCTTCAATCAGAACGGCTTGCGCCAAAATGGCTACGGACGTCTGCCTGATCAGCACGATCTATTGCAGCTGCGCTGACATCATCACAACTGGGCCCCTGAATTGCCAATGAACTTCGCGGGGGCGGCTGGCAAGAACGCGCTCTCTCAGGGAGCCTGGGTCCTTGGAGTTCCGCAGCCCCCCCCAAAAAGTCCAGGAGCCCAGACCACTGGGATCTCTTCGCCTCCTCGAGAACCGCCAGTCCGGCAGACGGAGCTGACAACGCCCCCCCCCGAACCGGCCACGTCGCCTGCTCCGCGGCTCTTCTTGGCGAGGGGCCAGGCGGGTCGCCGCCCCCAAGCCGACACCTCCGGACCGACTCCCGCCACGAGTGTAAACACCGCGCGCCGGAGGCGCTGCGCTCCCCCCCCCCCCGACGGCGAGGCGGAAGGCACCCCCCCCTCTCCGCAATGCGGCCCGACCGCAACGTCGAGCCTCGCGCAGCGCGAAACGCCGCCGTCGTCGCGCCCCCGCGGTGCCGGCTGGACCGGGGCAGCTCTCTCTCTCTCTCGCCGCCCCCCGGCCGCCGGGCGCGTGCGCTGGTGGGGGGGGGGGTCCGGGGGAGCGGCGCCTTGGGGGGGGATGTCCAGGGGAGGAGCTGGGAGGGAAGAGGCGCGCGAGGCTGCTGCGGGGAAGGGGAGGAGGAGGGGGAGGAGGGAGGAGGAGCGGGAATGGAGGGGGGGTGGGGTGGGGGAAATGACGAAGAGAAGGAGAGACGAGGAGGAGGAGGAGGAGGAGGAGGAGGAGGAGGAGGAGGAGGAGGAGGAAGGGAAGGAGGAGGAAGAGGAGGAGGAGGAGGAGGAGGAGGAGGAGGAGGAGGAGGCCGACGAGGCGGTGTAGGACGAGAGGAGCAGGAGTAAAACAGGAGAAGCGAGGAGGAGGAGGAGGAGGAGGAGGAGGAGAGAGGAGGAAGAGGAGGAGGACGAGAAGGTGGACGACAGAAGGCGGAGGGGGAAGAGAAGGAGGAAGACCCGTTCTACGAGCCGCGTCCAGCCGCGACCACGAGCGGCCGCCATGAACGATGCTGATGACGACCTGCATCCAAAACGTCACCAACAATGTCCACGCCCCCCTTCTCCTATGTTAGGAGGCAACTACTGGGATGTCTTCGTCGGAAGGATGAGGGAGGATTTAGCCCCTTTGGGGGGCTGTAACGCAAGAGTGGGCCTCGGATTAAGCGGGATGAAGCCGGATCAAGCGGGATCCGCCGGCCCCCTTGTGGGGCCACCAGGCTGTAGGGCGAAGGTTCGCAATTTCCTGTCCCAGTTGCAGCTTCCAGTTTCCACTGTTACAATTCTGCTTCTTGCTGCTTACTGGTCCTTGTTGACTTCTTGCTCCTTACTGTTCCTTGTTGATGGACCGCGCAAGGAGGGGAGGCCCAAAACGAGCATTTTTACCACGGCCAAAACGTATGCTCTGAATTGCTGGGGTGAGTAAAAATTTACACCCGTCACCCAGATCGGCGGGGTCAGGGCGCAAAAACACAGGAGATTTGCCACATGTCTGAAATCCGGTGGCACCCCTCACGCAGATCCGTAAGGTCAGGGTCCAAAAACATACGTGATTTGCCACATTTCTCAAATTTGCTCGCACCCCTCAAACAGATCCGTAAGGTCAGGGTCCAAAAACACACGTGATTTGCCACATTTCTGAAATTCGGTGGCACCCCTCACGCAGATCGGCAGGGTCAGGGTCCAAAAACACAACGGATTTGCCACATTGCTGAATTCGGCTGCACCTCTCTCGCAGATCCGTAGGGTCAGGGTCCAAAAGCACAAGGGATTTGCTGCATTTCTGAAATTCGGCGGCACCTCTCACGCAGATCCGTAGGGTCAGGATCCGAAAGCACAAGGGATTTGCCACCTTTCTGAAATTCGGTGGCACCCGTGACGCAGATCCGTAGGGTCAGGGTCGAAAAACAAACAGGTCCCGACACTGCTTCACGGCGCCGCCCAGACCTCATGATTTCGCTCTTCCATGGCCCATTCTCCGAGAGAGGGGGCAGGCGGCAGGGGGCGAAGCCCTTACGGATTAAGCCAGATTAAGCGGGATTAAGCCGGATTTCGGACCAGGGCAAAATCAGAATTTGACCTCCCAGGAGTTGCGTCCGAACCTATGCAAAGTCAGAGCCGAGATGGAAGGGGACGAGGCAGAGGAGGAAGCAGTGCAGCCTTCGCGGCCGCGGCCGCCGCGCACGTGGTGCCCCTGTCCGCGCTCTTGCAGCAGGCGTAGCCCCACCGCTTCGCCGCGGGGTCGTACCTCGGCAGCACCACACAAACACACACACACACACAAACTAACACACACACACACACACACACACACACACACACACACACACGCACGCACGCACGCACGCACGCACGCACGCACGCACGCAAACAGAGAGAGAGAGACACACACACACACACACACACACACACACACGCACACACACACACACACACACACTCACACACACACACACAAACGCAATAGAAATGTACGAGAAGACATCTCGATACAGTCGGCCCGTATCAGAACGGTGCGCGATAAGGATGCAAGGGCCTTGGGACGCCCATGTCAAAGCTTCTCGAGCGGGGCGCGGCCAACGAAAGTGGCCAAGGATGGGCCGAGGAGGCAAGGATGCAAGGGTACCCCTGGGAAGGCTGGCCATTT